ATATATATATATATATATTTGCAAAAGTCTGTTAACAGACATAATGCCATCAGAAACCATGTGATTCAAACGAAGGTACAGAAACAGTAAACTAAAACACAACACAACAATGTCCATGGTTTCCTCAGAGGGCGAGATACTACCCGGTTGCCCAAGCCGAAGTGGGGTGTTGACTTAGGGGACACCACCCCGAGCCTTTGGCTGAATAGCCTGCCCGCAAGGCAGCGGAGCGAATTCAGGGAATCGCGCCCATTGGGAGCCGGTGACTGATTGCTCAGTTCATACGCCTTTCGTTTGTTCCTTTGTCAAACAGGGGCCCAATGCTCCCCAGAAGTACCGCATAAACTTGCTGGAATACAATGCTTCGCCAAGATGAAGCAAGGGGCAGTGACTTTATTTATTGGCGAGTCACGTCCGCTACGGCCACAGTGTTGTTAAACGGACATATGTGGCTTTTTATAGGGAGAACGCTTGCCAGGCGAAAACCCACCACGTCCTGGAACACTGCCGCCGAACCATTTGCTGGAACGGGAAAATCCCGAACCACCCAGCTGGCACCACGAGGAGGTTGTTCGGCAAGCCAGCCAAAAGCGCCAGTATAGTCATTGGGAGGCTCCGTTTATGATGAGTAATACGAACGTTCAAGTGGTGTCTTGTTACTTAAGGATGATGGGCAGGTTGGAGATCTTTATATGTGTCTACCGCAGTCCATCGTCCCCACGAGAGGAGGACAAAGAGCTCGGTGCACTATTAAAGGCGCGCAGTGGTTGCTGCGCCTAATTTCCTAATAGTCGGTGATCTTAACCTTCCTCATGCGGATTGGCAAGGCACGGCAAACAGAGCGGATACCTTGGAACAGGAACTGGTTGACTGGATGCATGAGAATGCACTTGAACAATACATCAATATACCGACCAGGAGCCGAATCGGGAGTGCCCCCCTCCACGTTGGATGTTGCCATCACCAAACACGGTCGTTTCGCAGAGCTACAAGTGGAAGCACCTTTAGGTAGGAGTGACCACTGCGTCCTCACTTTCTGCCTAAATACATTGAAGCCTGCACGACATCCTCGCCTCGTGAGAAATTTCAGCCGCATCGACCACATGAAATTGAGGGATAGAGCCCTCCAGGTCAATTGGATCCCTGACCAGGAACAGGCATCTTTGGAACAAAGGTGGTCTGTGCTTAAAACTGGTTTAGTACAACTATTGAATGAGTTTGCTCCTCTTCGTCCTGCGAGACACTTCAGCAAGCCTCGGTGGTGGAGGAGGAGAATTGATAGAGCTCTAAAGAGACGAAATGAGAAGTGGAAAAAATTCAATGAGGCTAAGGGCTTTCGTCGATGGCTACAGTACACAAAAAGCCGGAATAAGGCTATCAAGATGCAACGGCAGGCTAAATACTCTTATGAGCTTCGGCTGGCCCGGTATGCGAAAACAAATCCAAAGTGTTACTACGGCTATGTTCAGTCTAAAGCCTCCCTAAGAGAGGACGTTGGGTGTCTAATTATGGAAGATGGCAGCCAGGCTGTGGAAGCCAGAGATAAAGCTGAAATGCTGTTAAGAGTCTTTCAGAATCTTCATAGGAGCGACAATGGATGTGCTGCACCATCGCAGCCACACTGTGTCAGCAGTTATATAATGCAGGACATCGTGCTGACTGCGCAAGAGGTCTTTACTGTGATGACTAACTTGAATCCCTTCAAATCAGCCGGTCCTGACGATGTACATCCGGCAATAGTCAAGCCACTAGCTGACATCCTTCAACATCCTGTTCTGGAGCTGTTCAACTTGTCGCTCCAGGAATGCAAGTTGCCACGAGATTGGAAGGAAGCAGCCATAGTTGCGATTCACAAGGGTGGCTCCAAATCGGAGCCCCTTAACTACAGACCCATCAGTATAACCTGTGTTCTGCTCAAGTGTTTAGAGAAGCTTATAAGAAACCGGATTTGTGAGCATTTGGCGGAACACAGCCTACTTAGAGCAGAGCAGCATGGTTTCATTAAAAAGAAGTCGTGCCTCACTAATCTACTGTGCTTCCTCGATGAGATTACTCGATGTCTTGACGACGGGATTCCGGTAGAAGTCTGCTATCTTGACTTTAGCAAGGCTTTCGATTCAGTAAATCACCGTTTCCTACCTGAAAAATTAGCATGGTTCGGAGTGCATCCTAGACTTCTATCTTGGGTGTCAGAATTCTTATATAGGAGAACGTTTCGAGTTAGAATCGGTGATGTGAGTTCTAGTGTGGGCGTGGCCTACAGTGGAGTACCCCAAGGATCGGTGCTAGGTCCACTTTTGTTTCTTATGTTTATAAACGACTTGGCTCCTCTTATTGAAGACCCCTGTTATATCTTTGCGGATGACTTGAAACTAGTCAGCAGGGGCAACCGTGCAACACTGGCCAAGGATATCGTCAGTGTGGTCAACTGGTCGAAGCAATGGAACTTGCCCTTGAATGCAAGCAAGTGCCAAATTCTGACCACTAGTAGTGACGTACTTGCAGTTCAGACTTCCTTTGGGCCCTTCCCCTTACAATGCACTACCCAGGCACGCGATTTAGGAGTCATCATGACGAGCAGCTTCAAGCCTTCGATGCAATGTCGATACGCCGCCAACAAAGCGCGACGAGAATTGTTTCGCCTCAGGAGGGCTCTGTGTAATACCAAGCCAGAAGTGTTCCTGCCACTATACAAAGCAGTGGTTAGGCCACACTTAGAGTATTGTGTTCAAGCTTGGTCGCCCTATCTCCGTGGTGATGTTCTTTGCCTGGAGAAGATTCAAAGACTAGCAACCAGGATGGTTGAAGGTCAACGGGGGAAGCCGTATGAAGATCGCCTAAAGAGCCTGGGGTTTTTTTTACCTTGAACGGCGTAGATTGAGAGGTCATCTGATAGAAACATTTAAGATCATGTAGGGCCTCAGTGCCATCGTGCCCTCTGATTTATTTGAGCTGGCTGATTCTGAACGCTTGCGTGGACATCGCTTGAAGCTCAAACAGCAGAGGGCTAGACTGAACGTCAGGGCTAAGTTCTTCTCGAATCGTGTAGTGCGCAACTGGAATAAGTTGCTTTCGGAACTAATGGATTGTGAGACTGTGGTTGCCTTCAAAGCAGGCCTAGACAGGTGCTGGCCGCGTATTTTTCCGGAATTAATATAATCCTGTCCAATTTATTCGCATTGATATCCGATGTTGATCCTTGTAAAAGCAAAGATTGCTCTCGCTTTTGCTTCATTTCTTTTTGCAGAGGCAAGGAGAGGCGATCAAAAGTCGAAGTGCCGGGGGGCTCTGGTTCGCTTACCGGTACAAGAAGCTGGACGCTCGTTAGGCGGAAGCCTGTATCGTCCACGGATTTTGACCTGACCTGACCTGACCTTTGCCTTGACGCCTATTACATATTAGGCGACCCTGCCAGGATCGGCAACAAGAATTACCGCTTTCCTTGTAAAACGAAAATCATGCCGAAAACTGAGGTCGAGAGAACAGTTTCGGATGATACCGAATCTACAGTCAGCTAGTCCACTGTGTTTGGACGAATGGTGTCGGCTCTCTTGGTGTTGTTAAACTCAGTTATTTATGGTGGTCAAGTTCGGGTACAAACTCCACCCCAGCCGTTCCCTCCCGAGAAGTTTTGTATTGGGGATGTTTATGAACAATAGAAACGACAAGCCCGGTGGTACGTTGACAGGTTCTCCGAAAATGAAAGGGCCGCTGCACTCTCTAGCCTCCTGAGCAACGATGCCTATCATATTGCAGCTTCGAAAGATATTATTGGAGATGTGGTGAACGGAACAACGTTTGCCCAGTTGTAGGAAGCCCTGCAACCGTCCCTATGTGAGTGGGAATACGGTCGACAGTTCCACGCTCGTGTTCAACGACACGGGGAACAGTTCACCATATTTGTCGCTGCGCTGCGGAAACTTGCCATATTGGCTTACCCACATGCCGACAAGGCCAGTCGTGAGAAGATCTTCCTCCAGGCTCTTCAAGGCACGGCTAACATTGATATCAAGGAGGATTTCCTGGAGAAGCCACCTGCCACTTTGCAAGAAGCTGTGGACTCCGCCACTCGTCGGGAGAAAACCTTGGCTGTGATCGCTCGGGAGGAACCACGGCGGGTATCGGATTACACTGAATTGGTATCGGTTGTTCGGCCTTGTGAGCAACAACAGAGAGGTCAACACAATTTTTCTGACCATCGGTCCACCCAGTGGAATAACGTTCCTCGCTTTACCAAGAAATCGCCTGTAGGACCTCATGGATTACCCCTGTTGCCGCAGATTCGGAAGATTTGCCTACAGTTGCGGACATAACCGACGGGGTGAGTCAGTGTTTGTTTAAGGCTCCTGCCGTTACGTTCGCCAATGCCATCTCAGCTCCTGTTGTGTCAGGTTTTGTGTGGTCTAAGCGTTTTGGTATGCTAATTGACACTGGGGCTACATGTTCTCTGGTCCATATACGTGTCTTACCGAGAGAAGTCTCTGTACATACCGACAGATCTGTCATTCTGATAGCAGCCAATGGTTCTTCTATCAATCCAGTAGGCTGGATTACTGCTACTGTATCGCTGGGCGGCATTTCTACCAGTCACCGCTTGCTCATAGTTGGTACACTACCATGGGATGTGATACTTGGGGTTGACTTCCATTTTGAGCACGATGCGAGAATCGACCTCGTCAACAAAACACTCGAAATCGGTAAGCAAATAATGTCATTTGATTCGACTGTTGCTTGCAAGTCATCATGTATGGTAGAAGACACACCCGTGCAGAAACTTATTCGTAATGTTCCCCCGGACATCCCATCCTCAGCCCTCGATAAATTAAAGGAAATCTTGAACACTGATCAGCATGCTTTTGCGTGGACAGAGGGCGATCTCGGTCGGTGCAGTTTCATGCGACACCGCATTGATACGGTCAATGCACCACCAATTCGCCAAGCGGCCAGGCGTGTGCCAGTGCATTTTCAGGAGGAATTGAAATGTGTGATCGAAGATATGCTGCTCACTTTGACTGCATTGTAGCCTACCGTACCGCGGTTCGCCTTCCTATTGTATGTTAAAGTTTCTCATTTTCCGTTATGGTAAACATATCCGCTTCCAAGTCTTCCTCAATCCCATTAACCGATTCGTCAGCTGTTTGTGGTAAAGCGAGTTGCTCAGAACCAGTTACCAGTTCTTCGGGTGGCATGCAATGTGACCTCTGCAGTTCTTGGTTCCATGAGGCCTGCACTGGGTTGGATAGACGGCAGTATATCCTCCTACAAAACAGCGATGATTTACCTTATAATTGCCCTGCTTGTGTGAGGCACAAAGCATATCGTCTAGTCCCAAATGACGAATTTGAAACTGGTGAATAGAGTGGGTACCATTCTATCTTTGTTTGGTACTTTAGAGGGGAAGGTTTACCAAATCGTTGTAAGCCTTGAACGTGCAGGCTTTCTCAGAACAAGCGTGCGTCCAGACGATCGCATAAATAGTACGGCTTTGAAGGATTTACCTGAAGATGGTAAAAATCCTGACGTTATATTGAACTCAGTTGTGAGCGGGGAAGTTGTACAGACCAGTGTATCTGCGAAGGCAAAGCGACGCAAAATAAAGAAATCCATAAGTACAACCAAACCCAAGCCAAAAGATGTAACAGTGGGCTCTGTCGATACTCCGTCCCGGAAACGAAGGCAGCAAACTCTTCCACTTCATTGCCGGAATCCTTCTCCTGTGCACCTGTTGTTCCTACTACGTAGGATATGAACTCGACCGTTGTGCCGGCCACTGCTACGGTGACGCATGCCGTAAACACTCCCCGTCGTAGTGATGCATTTACGGACAGCAGCGTTATCTTTAGGAATATCTCGGAGACCTCTGCGGCTCTTCCGAAAGATC